CGAGCCATGGAGACGACGTTCACTGAGTTGTACGATAAGATTAAATCTTTGACTGCAATGATAATGAAAACTGATACTGAATTTCAAGTGCTAAATAGGATGTCGAAACGCATTGTTGATCAAGCATCTGGAAGTTCACCTCCCACTGATGTTCTTGTCACGCCTACCGTAAAAAGAGTTTATTGTATTGATTCAAACTCAGACTCAGATCGCGATAGCGATGGTTCACACAAAAGGCAAAAATATGCGGTCATTGAAGATTTAAATGAGTCGGTGAAGGTATATAGAATTTATTTAAACAATTTGCACTTGTGTCATTTTAAAATGTTTATGATGTACCTATATATTGTAATTTTTGTTAAATTCAAATCGCAGGTGGAATTTCCGGGGACTACATCTGGAAGTTCAGCTCCCACTAATGTTCCTGTCACACCTAGCGTAAAAGGACTTATTTATATAGATTCCGACTCAGACGCGGATGGCGATGATTCACACAAGAGGCCAAAAAATGCGGCCGTGAAATATATAAATGTGTCGGGGAAGGTATATAGAATTTATTTAAAGAAATTACACCGGTGTGAATTTAAAATGTTTATGATGTACCTATGTATTGTAAGTTTTGGTAAATTCAAATCGTAGGTGGAATTTCTGGTGACTACAATAATGACGTTAGATAATGATAAGGATCGTTCCATTGCGTGTTTCATCTTTGGTGATGGTCTACAAGATGATAAATGGCTTGTTGAGAATTTTGGTCATAGTTTAAGTCGTCTAGAACTGAAGGACTTGCTGCCGGAAATGTGGCTTCATGGTTATGTAAGTATTTTGTAGTTCTGTTTTGGTAAGGCATACTTGACCACATATTAGCTATACTAATCTTGGGTTTTGCTTATTTTAGATTTTGATTGCTGTAGCTTGTCAATTAGCTGTTGATGTTAGGGCTTCGCGGAAAAAGGGACCTTGGCACCTTCCATCCAATTTTGAGGTGAGCAACAATTATGGAATGCTCTTTTCAATAAGTTTACTTTTTTCTTTCTCCCAAAGTTGAATAGTGAATGCGAACTGCTACCCAGGATTTGGTTGTGAAAATGGGTTGGACTCCAATAAAAGCCGTGGAAAATTATAAGAACCTATATCTTGGCGGAACCTTTGAATGCACCAAGGTATGGTGTAATAATATTAGTAAATTTTCCAGAGTTCCCTATTCTTTTAATGTTTTGCCCTTTAGTGTATAGTCCATCATTCTTTCGTCATCATTTACTTTTTTATTTATTTCAGATATATTTGCCAATGAATGATGAGAACCGCCATTGGTTTCTTATTGTGGTTTTCATGGACCGAAAGGTAGTGCATGTAGTGGACTCTTTGCCTAATGATTTGGGTTTGCAGGAAAATCGTAGGAAAATGGTGCAAGGAATGGTGGGTGATCAAACTATTCCCTTCGTGTAAATTTAGTAACTCAATTTTTTTTAATTTTTGTACTGTAATAGTTACGTGGTTAAGTTTGTTGTTACAGTTGAAATTCTTTTACACGATGCTTCAAGAATTTCCAGACAAACCATCAACCTATGAAGTGCCCAAAGTGCATAAGTTCCAAATCATAAGTCCTCCATACGTTTCTAACCAAATTGATGAGTTAGTATTTCTTTGAGTATTTTGATTATTTCATTTCGATTCACAATTTTATTTTCAATAATAAATGCTATTTTTCCACGTAGCTATGAGTGCGGGTTTTACGTCTGTCAATGGATGTTGCACGGAGAGGCTGATAATAATTCGTATATGGCGGTATAATACAATCCTTTCTTTCTAAATATGATTCCATCCACGTGAGATTCTACACTATCAAATCTAAATCAACATATTAAGAGTAATGTTCTAAATTTGGTGCAGGTTTGTAGTAATAGAGGTCGACTATCCTTGGTCATAAGTTTAGTCAAAGATCTCTCAAATACAAGGCGCTCTGAAATTATTGCTGAAGCAAGGGCCGTTTATGAAAGACATTTCAAGGGGAAAATCACCTCAAAATGCCAAAAGAGTTTATTTGATTCATTTTAGAAAAGTAGTTGTTTTTGTTTTATTGGTAGTCGGTCGGTTTTATACTTTTATTGGTAGTCGGTCGGTTTTACTATCACTTTGATCCCAACTGAATTCATTTTAGATTGGTTTTGGTGTTTACCTTTATTTTTTTCTTAAATCCGAATGTTGGTTCACGTTTTTGTGGCTTTGTTCCTGATGCTTGTTCAGCTGAGATAAGGCTTAAAGAAGGTGTCTAGGCTTGAGTTTTGACTGCCGTGATTTCATTATGGGATTGAAGGGACTGGGATTGTATAGAAGAAGACGACTTTGACCTTTCGTCTGGTCAGTGGGCTTTTTTGTTTATCTTTATTTCGGCCCAAAAAACGCGCCAATTCTTGGCTTTGGCCTTTGGATATCTCATATCTTGCCACCGGAGGATGCCGGAGATGTATGCGTTCATCGGAGCAAACCTAACCATGTTGGATCCAACAAATATCTTCAATAACAAAATTTTAACCCAATAACAAGTGTTTTTAGTTGCTCAGAGCTAGATCGTATCGAGATAGTGGTAGAGATAGTGGTAGATTAATAATGTATATACAGTATCTTCTCCAACTAGACCCTATAACTTAAAGTCGGCTACAACTAATTTGTCTTTAAATCATACCAGGACAACTAAATATCGTCACAAAGTCAAAAAGTTTCAATGACCCATAAATTTGAATTGCTTCGATACAACAACCGGTTCATTACAAAAAAGCACTGAAACTTGAATCCATATCAAACACGGATTCGCACTAAAAAAAGGAAAGTATTGGTTGATCAATTTGTGCCTCTTGGGCTCTGGGATCTCACCAAAGAAAGGCATTTTTGGACCGGTAGTATTGGCAGATGATTTACACGTGGACAGACAAGTTAAACAATTCAAGTGTATTGCTTTGGGTCTCAACGAACATGAAAAGGGAACGAGACAAGCAGACAATTCAAACAATTCAAGGGTATTGTTTTGGTTCTCAACGAAAATGAAAAGGGAAACAAAACTAGAGTACTTGCAGGAGAACTAATCAACCAAAAAATTCATAAACGTTTGCAGGAACCAATATCCAGAATATACTACTCCAAGAGAAATGAACCACTATCTCCTTATGAATCTTCTAGTTCTAGATTACGCTGTTTTGGCTTTCTTCCTTGTACCTATGAGTCTGGGCAACAAATCTCGATGCATTCTTATTTGCTTCCTCGATGATGACATGTCTTATGTAATTTGTAGGTTGTTGGACCAGATACAAAGCTAGTTGCATTCTCCTTATATCTCCGCATGGCTGCAACAGTTTGACAATGATAATGAGGCTTAGTAGCTGTTTCCAAAGGTTGTTTTCCTTCAAGGCTAAGTAGGAGAATTCTTGCTTACCCATATATTATAAGAAGCATCCCAAGATGCACCCATCATCCATGAGCACACCCAAACCCCACTATCAGACCTACATAAAATAAGATGCATCATATGAGTTGTGGGTATCTAAGTATGTTTCTAATTTATTCACAATGAATGATTATTACTCGTGACGTTGTTTGGGAATTGAAGGAATTGTCAAAGAAAATTGTTCCAGCACAGGTGGATCAAGTGTTGGTTCCACTTGCCGATAAAGATCCTTAAACAAGCCATCAAGAAATTTGATCTACATAAGCAGTAATCACTTTATTCGAAATAGATGAAAACATAAATCAATTTAGAGATATAACTGTATTCAGATCAGGAGGTCAAACCATACCATAGTTACTACTGCTTTTCTAAGAGATATTTGGCGCTTTTTAGAAGGATACGAATCCAATAGATGGACTTGTTTGTCGTCCAACATGATGACAGCTAAATACCAGTTAACTGCATCACCGTCCATTGCATCTTTCATGGGCAGACACACCTAAATAACGACGAGAAAGACCAAACTCAGCTGAGCATTGTAAAATACAATTTACAGAAATATCAAAATCTTGATGGAACCTCTAACTTATTCGCATATCCAATTCAAACAGTAACTAGAAATAGTAATTGAGGAATATTTCAATGAAACAAGAAAGGAATTGTTAAGAAGAAACATTTCTGCACGTGTGAGCTCTTGCCAAGAACTTTGCACCGTAACACTCTAGAGCTTTTTTTGATGTCATGCCATAGTTAATTACCATTTCCTGATCATGGTTCATTTAAAATAGAAGATACAACATTCATCCTATTTAATAGGAGAAACAGAATATTGTACCTAAAATAAATATACAAAGTAAATGGGACTATACTTGTAGTTCAGCAGGCAGATAACAGACTACTCTTCCATCTCCAACATCCCTCCAAACTTCCTCCAAGCTCAATTGGCAAGCCATGGCTGTAATTACATCATCACCGACATTAGACTTAGGGCAGAGGGACCACAACACCTTTCGTGTATAGGATTGCATCATGGTTTCGACCAGGACTTCCTTTTGTGGAAGATCCTTCGCAAATATGTAGTGGGCAAGGTTCACTTCCTCTCTAGTGTACTTGAGATGTGTTGGAAGTGTAAACTTTGTTTCACCCTACAATAGAAGATGAAACATAAGGATAAAAACAATTGATTTTGTTCTAAGCGGGGAAAATTGGTGGGCTAGATTATCATACCTTCTAGGCGAATTGTAAGTAAGAAAATCTGGTACGGCCTTTCTAAACTAAGTCATTCCAATCTGCCTGCTGATAGACCGTCATTTACACATGTTTTTACCCTCATACTTACACCGTTTGAGGTGTTGATTCTCGTGTTTTAGGCCGATTTCACGCTAGGTTGTGCTTGTTTGTGTTATTTCAGGTCCTAGTACGTGAATGAAGGCTTAGGAGCGAGTCTGGGGTCGATTGGACGCAGAACGGACGAAGGGCGAGCTGTTTGGGGAGTGCACGGGCAGACCAGGAGGCTGCACGGCCGTGCACTTGAGCCATTTGGCCGTGCACCTCATGTCGAGGCCATGCACGGGCAGGCTTGAAGCTTGCACGGCCGTGCGCCTGGCCGTGCAAGGTGGATGAAGGCCGAATAATTGATACGGTGCGTTTTGAGGGTGCACGGCCAGAATGGTGTTGTGCACGGCCGTGCACCTGGCCGTGCAACTCGGAAAAGTCGGTTTTAAAGCCTAATTCGAGCCAAAAGTGAGAGAATCGTGTTTTGAGAGAAAAAACAGAGCCCTAGAGAGAGAAAGTGCGAAGAACTCATCCTAGAAGCCATCTAAGAGCTGGATTTCATCGAATCGAGCTTGGAGATCGTCATAGGAGTGGAAATCATCGTCCCGGAGCAGATTATCCTCATCGTTATGAGTATGACTAATCCGATTCTTGTTTTCTCTTCTCTCTCTATGGAGTAGAACCCTTCTCTCACTTGGGTATGAAGAACCCTAGTTCCTTGTGTTAGGGATTTGATTGTAATGACTTGGGATGATATTACTGCTTGATTTTAATCGAATGACGCATGTTTCATGAATTGATTTGAGTCTGATCAGCTTGTCTCAATTTCTGCTTCAACCTGAGATAGATAGAATCTGATTAGGTTGTTAGAGCCTCTTCATTCGATAGTAGGAGATTGGCTATACGAGAGTTAGCCAGTTTACTGCTTTGTACTGGTGTTCTTGACGCCAGTAGTGGAGTTCTGTGTTCATAGCCTCAGCTTTCTATCCCGGTGAAGACTAGTCGTCTGCCGGGTAGTTAGACTGAGAGGGCTTGGTCAGCTTAAGAGATTCCAAGCTACTGTCGGATCTTCCGCAGTCTAATCAACAGTAAATCAACCCAGGGAATTGCAATTGAACCTAACCAAGGGGCTAGGGGGACTCAATCCCGAGTGACTCTTGCCTGCTTTAGAAACCCGAACAATTTACTGCTTTCTTGTTGCTTTTACTTTTCACAACAATCACTCGACTTAGTTTGCTAGATAATAGAGAATCACGGAGTAAGCAGTAGATCTAGACCCCGGGTTGATAATTAAACTTGCCTATACTGCAGTCCCTTTCATTGGTTACACTTGGCCATTGTTAGGTGTTGTGTTTTAGCGTGTCAAGTTTTTGGCGCCGTTGCCGGGGATCCATCTAGATTATTGGGGAAACGTGAGAATTTGTTACTCTAGCTTTTATTTACTGCATTTTATCTCTTCCACCTGTGTGCCTTCACGGGTTGCTTCTGCTGATTGTGTGCAGGTAGTGCATGACCCGTAGCCAGTCGGGAGATCTACTACCACTTGACCAGGAGCTTGAACGAACCTGCAGGAACTCCAAGCGGGTTCTAAAGGCGCGACTGGCTGCGGAGAAGGCGCTGTCACAGCTACAGATCGGAGAAGAAGAAGAAGGCGAGATGGGTGATCCGCAGAACAACAATGTGATCCCCGGGGAGCAGACCATGGGGTCCTACTGGACCGCTAGGCCTGCGGACATGAGGTCACCTATTCAACACCCTCAGGTCCCAGCCAACAACTTTGAGGTGAGCACCTCCGTGATCACCATGCTGCGCGGTTCAGTAGTGTTCCGTGGTAAGGAGGGAGAGTGCCCTCGATCACATCTCAGGCGATTCCACGAGCTCATCGATGGAATCAAGATCAATGGGGTACCGGCCGACGCCATCCAGCTGAGGTACTTCCCTTTCACTCTGGAGGGGCAGGCCAAGGAGTGGCTAGACACTCGACCTCCGGGCTCCATCACCACGTTCGCCAACCTGGCGGACAAGTTCCTCACCCGCTACCATCCTCCATCCAAGACTGCTGATCTCCAGAAGCAGATTACACACTTTTCTCAGGATGAGGATGAGACCATCAGGGATGCATGGGAAAGGTACAACAGTCTTTTCCTCAGGTGTCCCAATCATGGTTTCAACGATGCGTTCAAGGTGGGCACCTTCTATCACGCCCTCTTCCCGGAGGACAAGCAGCTGATCAATTCGGTTTGTGGCGAGAACATGCTGACAAAAACCCCGCCACAGCTGAATCAACTCTTTGAAGAGATGGCGGAGAATGGTTATGATTGGGGCACTGCCAGGAGATCGAGGAGAGCACCAGGCCAGGGTGTGCATGCTGTGGGCACCCAGTCATCTGATTTGGTGCAGGTAGTATCGAAACTGGTCTCAGCTATCGATCGTTCCGGGATGATTCCAGGGACCGGACAGCAGCAGGCGATGCTCTGCCAGTGGTGCGAGAGCACCCATCATATGGTGGAAGACTGCCAGGCGATGAAGGAATCGACCACACCCCAGGAGCAGGTGAACTTCATCAACAATGTCAGGCGCAATGACCCCTACAGCAACACGTACAATGAGGGGTGGCGCCAGCATCCTAACTTCTCCTGTGCTGGGCCAAATCCCAGACCACCAGCTCCACAGGGACCACCGGGCTTCCAGAGGCCACCATATCAGCCCAGAAAGGGGCAATTCCAGCAACCAGGTGCAGCCCCTGCTGCCCCAGTGCAGAATGATCAGATGGCTGAACTGCGGGACTTGGTGGGTTCTCTCGCCAGTGTTAGTGCTCAGAAATTCAACACCTTTGAGCAGTTCATGGAGAAGGCCTCAGGTCAACTCCTGGCCCTGGAAGCTGGTCAGAGGAATACACAGGCTGTTTTGCAGGATATCCAGACCCAGCTGGGGAGCGTGGCCCAGTCAGTGGCTAAAAGGGCTCCTAGTACTCTACCAGCGCAGACCATTCCTCACCCGCCGACCCCGAATGAGCGCTGCAATGCCATCATGACCAGGAGTGGCAAGATGACTGTTGATCCCCCTGCTCGGGAACCGGAGAGAGAAAGCCCTGTTGCAGCATCTCCAGCGGTTGAACAGGAAGTAGAGAAGGAGGTTGAGGTGCCTGCACCTAACCCGCAACCAGTAGTGAAGGAGTATGTCCCTAAACTCCCTTTCCCTACTCGGTTGCACAAAGACAGGCTGGAGGCAGAGTTCGAGAACTTCATGGCCATGCTTAGGAAGCTGAATGTCCAAGTGCCCTTCCTGGAGGCACTATCGCAAATGCCGAAGTATGCGAAGTTTTTGAAGGAGCTTCTCTCAAAGAAGCAGAAGCTGAGTGAGCTGGCCACTGTGGAGCTCAGCGAGGAGTGCTCGGCTATTCTGCAGAACAAGCTTCCGCAGAAGAAAAAGGACCCAGGTAGTTTCACTATCCCGTGCTCTATTGGTAAATTGCATGTAGAGAAGTCCTTGGCGGATTTAGGTGCTAGTATCAATGTTATTCCATACAAATTGTTCATGAAACTAGGCCTAGGTGAACCTTGTGCTACTAGGATGACCCTTCAATTAGCTGACAGATCGGTAGTGCATCCTAGGGGTATAGTGGAAGACCTTCTGGTCAAGGTTGGCAAATTCACATATCCTGTGGATTTTGTTATCCTGTACATCAGTGAGGACACAGAAGTGCCTCTTATACTGGGAAGGCCTTTCCTGGCCACCGCCAAGGCTCTCATAGACGTGCATGATGGGACCTTAGTTTTGAGAGATGGCGAGGAGCGAATAACGTTTTCTGTTGCTGATACTATACCTGCTTCGCTACCTCTGCATGCTGTATCTCACCAGGAGCACGAGTCTGTCGTGTATCCTTCTGTGCTGCCTATTTTGCAGGAACCGCCTCCCACACCTTCGCCGCCACTCCGGACCACCCCGTCATCCAAAGAACAGATCAAGGAGGAGTGGCGGCCGAAACTGCAGGCAGCTAAGCCTGCTCGAAAGAAAGCCGGAGACCACTATGAGCTGGTCCCGCCCCCACCTTGGCCATCCGAGTATTCACTCGCTTGCATCCTACCGGATGGCCAAGTCGAGCTGGCAAATGCAGGTGGCCACATTCGTCGCGTGCATGGCCACCATTTGAAGCTGTACCTCAAGAGCGATGTGGATCCGCTCTTGAAGGCACCTGATCCTACACTTCCCTGAGCATCCATACATGGGCGTCCAGCTAAAAGACGGTAAAGAAGCGCTTGTGGGGAGGCAACCCCACCGAGGTTTGCATTTTCTTACTCTTTTTCCTTTGATTTTGTGTGTTTTTGAGTCTTGAGACGTTGATCCAGAGTCAAGTGTCGTTTTTGAGTGAAAACAGGTTGAATTCGGGGTTCCAGAACTGTGCACGGCCAGGCCACCAACTTGCACGGCCGTGCCAAAATTTTCCCTGGCCGTGCAAGCTCTCGGTGCAACGTGCACGGCCAGAAGTGCATGTTGCACGGCCGTGCGGAAATCACCCCTGGCCGTGCAAGCTCTCGGCACTAACCGCACGGCCAAATGTGTGATGTGCACGGCCGTGCGATGTCCTCGGCCAGGCCGTGTCGGCCTGCACGGGCAGAAGGCACCTGTGCACGGCCGTGCGTGCCTGCCCGTGCGGCCCCAGCTGACGGTGATAATGGAGCTGCTGGCGCTGCTGATGATGATGCGTTCATGAACGACATCGATCTCGACGATCTTGGCGACGAGTAGGCTGTACTCGTTGCCCGTCTCATTGTGTTTGTTTTTGTTTGTTTTTTTAGACTTTTGAGTGTTTGCTCCATGTGTGCGGAGCTTGAACTTTTTGTCGTTTGTTTTTGTTTTTGGTTTTTCCTTTGTGGTTTGATGTAGCCGTCTGGGCTAACACTTATCCCTAACGCCAGTGTGCTAGTGTTTCTGATGTTCGATTTGTGCAGTATTGACCACTTCCCCGTTCGCTTCTCGCTGACTGGTCCACTTCCAGTCCCCCAGCAGTGTTCTTACCCGGTAACATCGTTCCCCTTATCTTTCCCTCTACTCCATTGAGGGCAATGTCGTGCTTAAGTGTGGGGGGATGTTTTGTATCGGTTGGAATATTTTTGATGGTGCTTGGAGCCTAGTCCACTGTCCGAATCTTACGATTTGAGGGCTCCAAGTACTGCTGTTTGATCATATTGGCACTGTGTTTTGATGGATGAATTGATTGGTTTTCGGATTAATGCATGACAACCTGTTTGCGACTAGGACAACCTATGATGAGGACTGAGATGTGCAGTAGAACGATGTAGGGGTTCAGTTTTTCAACTGTTTGCTTGCCAACTGTGACTTGATCTGACTTGATCTGATTACTTGTTCTTGACAGTCGTTTATGCATCTAGTTCAGGGTATCAGAATGTGAGATAGAGCATATAGGTAGCCATGTGAGATTTGAGCCTGCTCGTTTCTTTCTTGTGCGATAGATCCCTCTTCCATGATGTGTAGCATTCACGTTGTCACTAGCTAAGATGATGGGGGCATAGGATTAGCCCACGCCCAAAAACTGACTGTCCTGATGTGTCATATCCCCTAGTCAGCCCCTTTGAGCCGTGTGTTATCCTTTCTTTTGGTCTATAATGAAAAAAATCACCCTTGTTGCATCTTTTAGAAGGTTCCACAGAGTGGTTTTTACATATTCTCTGCTGTTTCTGCTTAAGTCTATGTGAGTGTTGGAGGTAGTGCTTAAAAGTTGGGCATGTGTTTGAAATTTATGCAGAAGTGGTGGCTCTCTTAAGAAATGAAAAGAAAAATAAAAGAAAAACAAAGAAAAAAATTGAAAGCAAAAGAGAGCCACTACCAAAAATCTGAATAATGCCCAGTAAGTAGTGTTTCTTAGCAGTCTGGCTTGGAAATGCTGATGTTTATGCCTCCTTCGCTCTTGTGCTCTTAAGATATTGAGTAATGCAGGATAGCAGAAAGAAAATACCGGGTTGTTGACTGTGTTTGTGTGTTTGGGAAATGTGGAACCTTTTGCTATGAATACTTCCACCACCTAAAAGGCCTTTTCCCCATGTCCAAGACCCTAGCCAGTCATTTGAACCTGTGTCTAAGACCTCCTGATTAGTTAGTGGTGACACCCCATATGTGAACTCTAGCATTTAGAGGCTGCCATCATGGTGAAGAGATGATAGGTATTGAGAGAAATAGCATGCGCATCTTTCGCATCAAATTGTCCTGACCCCACTGGTCGAGAGTGAGTGATTCATTTTCATTTTCTATATGCTCTTGTACCCCGGTGAGGACCTAGATTGCTCGGTCTCTATTCTGATGTCTTGAGTTGGATGCATGAGTTGACTGTTTTGAGTAAGTGGTTGAATCAAGTCTAGGTTGGCCAGTGAACAGAAGGGGGACTCTTCCTTTACTCGATTTGCTGCACTCGAATGTCCTTTGTGGTGGTTGTCCAGGTTGTTAGTGAGGTTGTGCATGTATTGATGTTTGAGAACCAGTGCGATTCACGTGTTTTGTGCCTTTATGACTTGTCCCCAATGTTGGTTGATTGAAATATGTAAGCTTACTTAGTGTCTGACTTGGTTTGCTTGGGGACAAGCAAACGGTTAAGTGTGGGGGAGTTTGATAGACCGTCATTTACACATGTTTTTACCCTCATACTTACACCGTTTGAGGTGTTGATTCTCGTGTTTTAGGCCGATTTCACGCTAGGTTGTGCTTGTTTGTGTTATTTCAGGTCCTAGTACGTGAATGAAGGCTTAGGAGCGAGTCTGGGGTCGATTGGACGCAGAACGGACGAAGGGCGAGCTGTTTGGGGAGTGCACGGGCAGACCAGGAGGCTGCACGGCCGTGCACTTGAGCCATTTGGCCGTGCACCTCATGTCGAGGCCATGCACGGGCAGGCTTGAAGCTTGCACGGCCGTGCGCCTGGCCGTGCAAGGTGGATGAAGGCCGAATAATTGATACGGTGCGTTTTGAGGGTGCACGGCCAGAATGGTGTTGTGCACGGCCGTGCACCTGGCCGTGCAACTCGGGAAAGTCGGTTTTAAAGCCTAATTCGAGCCAAAAGTGAGAGAATCGTGTTTTGAGAGCAAAAACAGAGCCCTAGAGAGAGAAAGTGCGAAGAACATCATCCTAGAAGCCTGTCTAGAGCTGGATTTCATCGAATCGAGCTTGGAGATCGTCATAGGAGTGGAAATCATCGTCCCGGAGCAGATTATCCTCATCGTTATGAGTATGACTAATCCGATTCTTGTTTTCTCTTCTCTCTCTATGGAGTAGAACCCTTCTCTCACTTGGGTATGAAGAACCCTAGTTCCTTGTGTTAGGGATTTGATTGTAATGACTTGGGATGATATTACTGCTTGATTTTAATCGAATGACGCATGTTTCATGAATTGATTTGAGTCTGATCAGCTTGTCTCAATTTCTGCTTCAACCTGAGATAGATAGAATCTGATTAGGTTGTTAGAGCCTCTTCATTCGATAGTAGGAGATTGGCTATACGAGAGTTAGCCAGTTTACTGCTTTGTACTGGTGTTCTTGACGCCAGTAGTGGAGTTCTGTGTTCATAGCCTCAGCTTTCTATCCCGGTGAAGACTAGTCGTCTGCCGGGTAGTTAGACTGAGAGGGCTTGGTCAGCTTAAGAGATTCCAAGCTACTGTCGGATCTTCCGCAGTCTAATCAACAGTAAATCAACCCAGGGAATTGCAATTGAACCTAACCAAGGGGCTAGGGGGACTCAATCCCGAGTGACTCTTGCCTGCTTTAGAAACCCGAACAATTTACTGCATTCTTGTTGCTTTTACTTTTCACAACAATCACTCGACTTAGTTTGCTAGATAATAGAGAATCACGGAGTAAGCAGTAGATCTAGACCCCGGGTTGATAATTAAACTTGCCTATACTGCAGTCCCTTTCATTGGTTACACTTGGCCATTGTTAGGTGTTGTGTTTTAGCGTGTCACCTGCAAATCACCATCAATCTGGATCACACCATCTTCAGTTTTACCTTTCTTTCCTCGAGATTCATCCTTCTCCAGCAAAGAATTCATCGTAATAAAAACACAATGCCTTATTTAGTTTGGAAGAATAATCTGCCAACGATGGAGAAAAGGGGGAAAAAAGAATTCAAATTGACGAACCATTAATTTGGAAGAACTTCTGGTCTTGCGTTTTGTCATCATCTTGCCGTCCTTATCGTTTTGCATATTGCTCCTGGTTTCTGCCCCGTGACCGAGCTCCTGTACTGCTGTCCTGAATGAGCTCCTGGCGAATTTAAAAAAAGTCTGAAATGGCCCAAATGCTTTTAATGTTGAGTGCGAAACAGATCCGGTCGACATCAACATCATAACAAGTCGACCTCAATTAGTTTCGCACAAATAATTCGTAGGAGAAATGCAAAACTCGTATTTTTGCCTTCATAGGTCGACCTCAGAAACATCATAGGTCGACCTCGGCTAATAGAAAACGAGTCTGAATGGCATAAATGTTTAAGATTTGGAATGCAAAAGGAAATCGGTCGACCTCAGCAACATCATAGGCCGACCTCCGCTTTAGATCTTTTTAAAAACTAAAAAACTCATACAGTTTTGAGAGCAAAACGTCACAGGTCGACCTCAATAACATCAAAGGTCGACCTCAGTTCATAATACAGAAGAATGGATCGAGTGAAAGTCAGATGCGGTCGACCACGAAGATGAACAGGTCGACCGTATCTGATGTAACACCCCGACATTCGTGTTCAGGTTCGACCGAAATAATTATATGGATGGCGTCGACGATTACGTACTAGAACTCAGATCAAACTAAACTCGATTGAAGGGAGCAAGACCAAATTAGTAATCGGGCCAAAGTTGGAAATTGATGGAGAGAAATGGATGTCGTGAGTGGGCTGAGTTTGTCCATTTTCCTTCCCGGATCTGCCCGCTAAATTGGAGAACAAGGATTGTTTGGGTTCAAGCATGAATCATCAAGTGAAGGGTTTTCATAACCCTTTTACATCTATATAAACGCTGGAACGTGAAGGAAAATGAGAGTATATTTGCGCTGCTGTTCCATTTGACAGCTACGGATGAAAAAAAATAACATGTCAGATGCAGCTTTATTGGGAGGAGGAGCAGCTTGAGTACGTTGATGAGCGATGGTAGGTGCCTTGAACCGGGAACGACGCGATCACAATAGGAACTAACGAGGACGAATCATAGGCAGGCGGATCTGGGGTGGTCGATCTTTAAGGTAGATTCTTCATTCTTACAATATTACTGATCATGGGTGCAAGAAGTCGGTTTGGGTATTGCTGTTTAGGCTGTTGACATGTTTACTCTCGTAGCTTGATTTCGAACGAAACCGAGGGAATTCAAGTTATTGATGAATCAAAATTGAGGTAAAGCTGAATTCATTCACGACATCTCTTAAATTGATATGTGGCCTTAAATTGGTCAGGGACCTCGACATGGAGGGAGAATGGATCAGCTTGGTAAAATGCATATCGTGGATATTGGAAGGGGGTTTAGAGGCTTTACATGGTTGCCATTATTCCTATGCATGTGTTCACCGGGGGAGGGGGGGGGGGTTTGAGAAATTGTTGTCTTGGAACAAAGGACCAATTGAGCTCTAATGGAGAAGATGGAATCCGCCAAGGCAAATGAACCATTCCAATCGCCCTGGAATTACAAATCATATAAGGTGAGAGTAAAGGGGTAAAATCTCTGTCGAGATCTTTTAGGTTATGTCTTTTAATTCAGTATTGTTTGTTATTTTCAAGTAAGCGCGATTATGTGTGTGAGGCATCCCACCGCCTACTTAAGGTGGAGGCACGCGTTGTGTTATGTATGTATGTAAAATGAACCCCCGGGCGGTTGGGCCACTACTGGACGCGGTAGATGGTCGGGTCACTACTGGACGGCGATACGTAACGCAGTAGTTGACCGGGCATGGACTGGACGGCGATACGTAACGCAGTATCATTGCCTTGAGGATAGGGACACCGGACGGCGATACGTAACGCGGTGATTCCCTAGTGATATGTGATTAAGTCGGGATAGATGTAAATAACTTCTATAAGATAAGATTTGTAGTAAGGATATTCTATAAGGTTTCGAGTAATAAAGTTGAGGGATGGAAGCGAGAACGACTTTCATCTAAGGAAAGACAACGCTAATAACGTGTTTTAGCAAGGAAATTTCTAAGGGCAAAGACCTTAGGAAGTAACGACGAGACTGACCCCTTCTCACTCACCAGGTCGAGGAAGGGTTAGCAGAAGAGAATTTCGAGAAGAGGCAAGGAGATGCGGGCAGCCGCACCAGCATTAACGAGATGTCAAGGAGCTAAGTGAGGAGTTAGAGTTAGACTTGGGTAGTTTTGATGTTTCATGATTATGAGTACATAAACTGGAGATTCGACATTTTGAGTTTGTGTGGTTTTGTCGACTATGTATTTGAGGTCGCCCACGTGCTTAGGGCATTTCATTTAAAAAGGATTCTGTTGTATTTGTTTTAAATGAAATCTTGAGTATTGTTTTTAATCGGCTCCGGAGCGATGGTTATTTCGGTTCGTTTAAAAGTATCGGGGCGTTACATCTGACGAATAGAAGGTAAATTCCCTCTTTTCCAGCTTTATATCTAAATAAAAACTCAAAAACTCGTAGCAAAACGTCACAGGTCGACCTCAATAACATCACAGGTCGGCCTCAGTCCATAAAACAAGAATGGATCGATTGAAAGTCAGATGAGGTCGACCACGAAGATGAAAAGGTCGACCGAATCTGACGAACAGAAGGGAAAATCCCTCTTTTCTAGCTTTAGATCTAAATAAAAACCCAAAAACTCGTAGAAAAACGTCACAGGTCGACCTCAATATCATCACAGGTTGACCTCAGTCCATAAAACAGAAGAATGGATCGAGTGAAAGTCAGATGCGGTCGACCACGAAGATGAACAGGTCGACCGTATCTGACGAACAGAAGGTAAATTCCCTCTTTTCCAGCTTTAGATCTAAATAAAAACCCAAAAACTAGTAGCAAAACGTCACATGTCAACCTCAATATCATCACAGGTCGACCTGAGTCTATAAAATAGAAGAATGGATCGATTGAAAGTCAGATGCGGTCGACCACGAAGATGAACAGGTCGACCGCATCTGACGAACAGAAGGGAAAATCCTTCTTTTCCAGCTTTAGATCTAAATAAAAACCCAAAACTCGTAGCAAAACGTCACAGGTCGACCTCAATATCATCACAGGTCGACCTGAGTCCATAAAACAGAAGAATGGATCGATTGAAAGTCAGATGCGGTCGACCATGAAGATGAACAGGTCGACCGCATCTGAAGAACGGAAGGGAAAATCCCTCTTTTCCATCTTTAGATTTTTTTTAAACAATCTAATCTACCAAAGAAGAAGAGAAAAATCGAATCAAATGAAATGAAGATTGAAATACTCACCTTGTTCTTCTTCTAAGTGGATGAGGATGAAATGGAATGGAGGTTCCTTTGAGATTTTAGAAATTGGAGATTTTGGAAATTCGAGAAGAAGATGAAGAAGGGAAAGGAGAGGAAGAATGAGTTGATGTGGTGGGATAGGGTTCTGATTGTGGTGTAGAATGAGTGGGGGAGGGTTTTTTAAATAGAGGATTGGGGGATAGGTTTGGGTGGATGTTGGCAAACAAACCGGTTTGGTCGGCCGAATTAAATACGCGGTCGACCGTGTGTTTTATGAGGTCGACTGTTTTATTGTGTTTGTTTATTTCAACCAATAATCAATTAACTCATAAATTATTAAGATAATTCGAAAAAAATACAATGCAATCACAGTTATAAATAAAAATAAACCCCTAAAAAACAATAGAAGAAATTTAAGATCCTTTTTTGGGACTTTTTTTGGGGCACTTAGGGCGAAAATGACCATATTTCCCACATTTCGAACACTTTCTTACGCTTTTGCCCGATGCAGTTCGTGCTGACTTGAATGCCCCTTGGTCTTCCCAATTTTTGGATCTTTCACACTTCAAAGGGGTGCTGGAGGATTTGCAGGTGTGGTGTTGTCCGTTCTCTCCCTCGGGAACTCAATTGCCCATTGAGCAAGGTCATCCAACGTCTTAGAGA